CAGTGATTACATCATTAAGGAGAAGACGGTTCTGCTGCAGAAGAAGGACAGTGAGGGGTTCGGGTTCGTGCTCCGGGGGGCCAAGGGTGAGTGCCGGCCGGGAGGGGATGGGAGACTGGCTCTCTGACCCCGGGAAAGGGACCCCAGCCCGCCCACAACCTGGACCCCAGGGTACTGGTCCCTCAGCTACGGTGAGGCCTCCGTGACTTGGGTCTGAGCCCCATCCCCTGCTCGGCCTCTCCACCCCCTCCCCTCCGACCCCGCCGGCTCCTCCCATCTGCAGCGCAGACCCCCATCGAGGAGTTCACCCCCACCCCGGCCTTCCCGGCCCTGCAGTATCTGGAGTCCGTGGACGAGGGCGGCGTGGCATGGCGCGCTGGACTGCGCATGGGAGATTTCCTCATCGAGGTGAGTCCTGACCCCCAGCCCCAGGGGCCTTGCCAAGCCCCAGCCTGTGGCCCACCTGCCACAGACACCCCTTCCTTCCCTGGCCCCTGGGGACAAATCCCAAGGCCAGGAGAGTTACAGGAGCAGAGAGGTGGGGCCTTGGCAGGGAAGAGAGAGGTGGAGAGGGTCAGAGGGAGGGCGGAGTGACCCACAGTGAAGCTGAAAGCAGCCTCCCTCACCTACTGGGCGTGGTTTGGGGGTGTCTGTGCCACAGGTGAACGGGCAGAATGTGGTGAAGGTCGGCCACCGACAGGTGGTGAACATGATCCGCCAAGGGGGCAACACGCTGATGGTCAAGGTGGTGATGGTCACCAGGCACCCGGACATGGAAGAGGCTGTCCACAAGAAAGGTGAGCCCCTCCCCTGTGCGGCCAGGCCCGGCCGGTCACTGCCACCAGACCGGGCCCGTAGGAGCCCTCCCCACCCCAGGCCTCCCCTTCCTCAAGGCTGCTTGTCCATGACCCTGCTGGGGAGAAACTGAGGCAGGGAAGATTCCTCCTGCTGCTGGTGGCTGCCCTCTGAGCTCTGGGAGCACCATGGTGGTGGGGGGTCGTGAGGCTTCTCCCTGGGGTGCTGGTGCCTGACCCTCCCCGTCCCCTTTTTAGCACCCCAGCAGGCTAAGCGGCTCCCGCCCCCAGCCATCTCCCTGCGTTCCAAGTCCATGACCTCAGAGCTGGAGGAGATGGGTGAGCCTGTGGGGCGCTAGGGGCCAGTGCCGAGAGGGCGAGGGGCAGAGGGGTGGCACCGTTCTGCAGTTTGTTAGTGTTGTTAGTGACCAGGATTCCTGTCCGCATCCTGTCCCTGTCCATGGGCCAGACTCCCTCTGGCCCGCATGTGTGTCGCTGGGAAGGGGCGTCTCGCAGTCGACTTCCCTCTGTCCTCTTGTATTCGTTTCTCTGTTGGGGTCTCTCCGGGCCTGTTCGTCCCTCTCTGAGGGTCCGTTTCCTTTCTAGCCCCTCTCCTCCATCACCTGCCACCAGCTCCCCTACCCCCCCTAACAGAAAGGAAGGCCAGCCCCCTGCCTCCAGACAGAGTGGACCTGGGGGGTCCGGTGCCCGCTGGCAGGGGCGGGTCAGGCAGCTGACCGTCCCCACCCTGGGCCACGAGGGAGGCGGGCGTTCCAGACAGGGGCCCCTCGCCTCCCCCTGAAGTCCTAACTCTTGGCTCCTCTACTGCCTCTCCCCCGGGCTAGTCTCCCCCTGGAAGAAGAAGAGTGGTGAGTGGGCACAGGACTGGCGGGAGGGCCCCCATCCCGCCCGCGCCCCGCCGGCGGGCCAGCCCCCCC